GCCTCTCTTCCTTTTTTAAAAAAAAAAAAAAATTATTTTTCAATTGGAGTTGACATCCGACATTATTTTATATTAGTTTCAGGTGTGCAGCATAGTGGTTAGACATTTATATAATTTACAAAGTGATCCCGCCATTAGTCTAGTACTCACCTGGCACTATACATATTGACTATATTCCCTGTGCTATATTTTACATCCCTGTGGCTATTTTTAGAACTACCAGTTTGTACATCTTAATCCTTTTACTTTTCTCACCCATCACCCCAATTCCCTTCCCATTCGGCAACCATCAGTTTGTTCTCTGTATCTGTGAGTTTGTTTCTATTTTGCTTGCTCATTTATTTTGTTCTTTAGATTCCATTTATAAGTGAGATCATATGGTATTTGTCTTTCTCTGCCTGACTTATTTCACTTAGCATAATACCTTCTAGGTCCACCCGTGTTGTCACAGATGCTAATATGTCATTTTATTTTATTGCTGAGTAATAGTCCATTGTATATATGCACCTCTTCTTTATCCATTTGTCTGTGGATGGACACTTAGGTCGCTTCCATATCTTGGCTATTGTAAATAGTGCTGCAGTGAAAATAGGAGTATATATACCTTTTCAAATTAGTGTTTTGAATTTCTTTGGATAAATACCCAGAAGTGGAATCACTGGGTCATAAGGTAGTTCTAGTTTTAATTTTTTGAGGAACCTCCAAACTGTTTTCCATAGGGACTGCACCAATTTACAGTCCCACCATAAGGGTTCTCTTTTCTCCACATCCTTGCCAGCACTGGTTATTTGTTGACTTATTGACGATGGCTGCTCTGACAGGTGTGGTGGTTTTAATTTGCACTTCCCTGGTGATTAGTGTTGCTGAGCATCTTTTCACATGTCTGTTGGCCAAGACTGAACTATAGGTACAGCTCTTATAAACATTATGCTTAGTGAAAGCTGCCAGACTCAAAATAGTATGTACTGTATGTTTTCCATTGATATGAATGGCAGAAGTAATTTACAGTGATAGAAATCAGATCTGTGGTTGTGCGGGGCAGGAAGGAGAGACGGAGGGCACAAGGCACAGGGAACTTTTTGGGGAAATGGGAATGTTTCATATCTTGATTTGCATTGTGCTTACAGGTGTATACATTTGTCAAAACTCATCAAAATGTGCACATAAAATGTGTTAATATTGTGGTAAATTATACCTTGGTAACGTTGACTTTTAAAGAAATGTTCTAACTTTATATCATTTAGACTGGAAACATTAGACAGCTGGATAATGCCATGAGTTGGGAGGATGCAAGGGTCCATGGCTGGTGGGCATGTGGATAGGATGGCCTGTGACTCCAGAGCATGTCATATCCTGTGAATAATCTCAAAGAAATTCTCATGTGGCCCATAAGGTAGAGAGGCAAGAAGACATTAACTGTAGAGTTATTTGTGAGGGTGGGGAGTTGCAGAGAATCGTCCATTCCTGGGGGAGTAGATGGATAAAATGTGGTGGGTGCATACCTTGGGGTACCGTGCAGCAGCTAGAAGCAGTAGATTAGATGTACCCAGAGCAGCACAGACGAGTCCGTGTCATAAAAATGCTAAGAAACAGAATGAGATATAACAAAATGCCTTTTATGCCATCAATTAATTAAAAATACAAAACGATCCAAATAGAAAATAACTAAAGACATGAACAGATATTTTACCAAAGAGACGATATGGGTGGCAAATAAGCACATGAAAAGATGTTCAACATCATTAGCCATCAGGGAGATGCAAATTAAAACCACAATGGGATACCACTCTCCACCTATTAGAATGGCTGAAATGTAAAACAGTGAAAATGCCAAACGCTGGCAAGGAGGTAGAGAAATTGGATCTTTTATACATTTTTGATGGGAATGTAAAATGGTACAGCCACTCTGGAAAATAGTGTGGCAGTATGTTTTGTTTTTGTTTTGTTTGTTTGTTGTTTGTTTTGGTTTAAGCGTTTATTTCTCACACTCTGGAGACTGTGAAATCCAAGTTTGGTGGTGGTTTGGTAGGACCCCTCTCCCTGATTCCCAGACGGCCTTCTTCATTCTGTACCCTCATGTGGCCGAGAGATCGGCAATTTCTCATAAAAATAAATATGCACTTACCATAAGACCTAACAATGGCACCCTTGGGGCATATATCACCCCCAAAGTGAAACTTACGTTCATACAAAAACCTGTACGTGAACGTTCACATCAGCTTTATTTGTAATAGCCCCAAGCTGGAAACAACCCAGATATCTTTCAGTGGGCGAATAGTTTGACTCCAGTATACCCACGCCATGAAGTACCACTCAGCCATGACAAGGATAGAACTAAGGGTACCCACAGCAACGTGGATGCATCTCAAGGGCACTGTGGTTAGTGAGAAAAGCCAACCTCAAAAGCTTCTGTTTATGTAACATTCTCGACCAAGCTAGAGATGGAGGAAAGGTTCGTGGTTGCCAGGACACAGGGACCTGAGTTGGAGGAGTGTGACTATGCTAGGTACCAGTTCCGTACCGCAGTTGTGGTGGCTGTTATGCAGATCTGTCTATGGAATCGAATAGGGTAGAACTACACACACATACACACACAGCCTGTAAAAACTGGCGAAATTGAACAATAAGGTCTCTAGTCTATAGAACAGTATTATACCAATGTCAGTCTCTTGATCTTTCTGTAGTACTACAGTTCTAGAATGTCGCCATTGGGGAAAGCTAGATGAAATGTTCTGGGCACACTGCGTACTTACTATTGTGTAACTTTCTGTGGATCTATAATTATTTAGAAATAAAAAGATTTTTTAAAAAAGCACATATATACAATTCCACAATACGCCTTTTGCAAGAATGCATAGGAACAAAAGCATGTATATTAAACACCTTAGAGTGGCAGCCTGTGGGGGAGGGAGTGGGAGGGAGAGTGGAAAGGACAAAAGGAAATGAACAGCTACATTCATCAAGGGACCCTGAGCAGACCTCTGGGGACATGTGCTGTGAGCTGAGAAGGTGATTAACTCAAGCGTCTCTGCACCTG